AATAAATAAATAAATAAATAAATAAATAAATCAGGTGCTTCATTAGACAGCAATTTTCATGAATGTGCAAGTGGGAGGCAAAATAGCATAAGAATCTGAGCAGGGGCTTTGGAGTCAGGCTGAGCTGGGTTTGAATCCCAGCTCTGCCATTCCTGCTGCATAACCTTGAGCAAGCTACTCTGTCCCTTTGGTCTTCAGTTTTTCCATCTGCAAAATGGGGATAATAATACTGGGGATAATAATGGGGATAGTAAGATCAGAGGAGAGATTGAGATGATGTCTGTAAAATGTTTGCAGTCTGTCACCTGGAAAACACGAAGCATTGATGATGAATTAACATCACCAAGCACTGCTGCTATTGCATAAAGAAGATACTTTTTTCTCAGACTTTTCAAAGCTTTTAAAAAGCTTTAATAAGTGTGTTATATCTTCAGGAATACATACTAAAGTAATAATAGGAGATGTCTGAAGACAATTAGCTGGGGATGTCCTCATGATGCTATTGATTCTAATAGGGAAAAAAAGGTGATCTAAATGTCTTAAAATAGGAATTGGTAAAATAAACCATGGTACACCCAATAAAATGAATAATTACCATTTAAAGTGGAAGTTTATTGATGGGAGTATGGGAAGGAGGGGTGGGAAGCCAGTTACCAGTCTGTAAAGTATGAACCATAATTATTTTGTTCAAATTTTTTTTTCTGGAAGTATGACCAAGGTGGTTTTTCTTTCTTTCTTTCTTTTTTTTTTTTTTTTGAGTATTTATTTTCTTCTCTTGACCATCTGTATTCCAAAATTTCTTTATAATGACCATAGTCTTTGTGATTTAAAACAGTTGAAATTTTACTTCACTTTTTATAAAGAAAAACGCAGATTTCCTAACTCCATTCAATTTCACGGCTCTCTGAGGTGACCCTGGGATGATTAAAAGCCAGCCAGGCTCTGTAAACACAGAAGATGCAGTTATCTGGGCTCCAGTCAGCAGCCTGGTTCCCTGATGATTTCTACAAAAGCCGCCCGTGCTGTGCCTCCCAGTTAACAGGCAATAGCTCCTGTGAAAGAAATAATTCCACCCCAGTGTTAACTGGGGTCAGCAGCATTGAGGTGGGGCTTGTTTACTGAGCCAAATCTGTCTGCTTGTGTCTTCTTTGGGGAGGAGGAGCAGGGGACCCTGTTTGCCTGCCCTTTACCCTCCCTTTATCCCTTTCTCCTCTGGAGAGGTTGTCAACTCCCTCTCCCCCTCTGCCCCCAGCTGCCACCTTCCCATACAAACCCAGCACTGCAGTGGGGCCACAGTCCTCCTCAGGCAGTGCCCTGTGCTCCGCTCAGGAACCTGGATCCCTTTCCTGGCCCCCCCACCCCATCTAAGTTTGCCCCACTCCCTCCTGGGAGGAAAGACAGATCTGATGTCAATCACTTACAGCCACTGGTACATGAATTATCTCCACCCTCCACTCCAGTGTGCAGACAGAAGCACTGACTCAAAGGAGTGACTTCAGAGTTTGACCCAGCCCTTCATAGTTTCAAAACCCTCTCCTCTCCAGGGTTTCCTACAACCTTCACTACAGCCCCTGGTGAGGAAGAAGGTGGTGCTATCGCCCTATTTTACAGATGAGGAAAGTGAAGTGAAGCTGAGAGGTGAAGTGCAGGTCTTAATCCAGCTGTCCTGATGCTCCATGCCAGCCCTTACCATTGAGCTAGGCAACCAGGTCAGAGGTCCTCCTGCAGCGACTCTCATTAGCAGCTCACTGCATCATAAGACAAAACAGACTTGTGATTTTTCACAGAATGTGAGATCAGTTTGTGGAGTACTGAGCTATAAATAAAACCAGAATTGCAAAGAAAGGAGGGAGGAAGAGAGGGAGGGAGGGAGGGAGGAAAAAGAAAGAAGGAAGGAAAAGAGGGAGGACAGGAGGGAGAGGGGAAAAAGAGGGAGAGAGTGGGCGAGAGACAGAGAAGCCAAAAGCAGACATATGAGCAAAAGCTCACCACCCAGTCTTAGCACACTATGCCTATATGATTCAAGCCCTATTCCCATGACCAGTCTCAAGACTATGGTTTCAGGGTCCCCTGTCACCTCCATGCAGTCCATGGAAATCCCCAGGGGATAGGTCCCCAGGCTCTGAGCATAGCTGAGCAAAGCACAGGAGGATATTGTCTAAGAGCTGAAGGAAGTTTGAAGACATACCTTTGGGGCTTTCAAGAATTTCTCAACAGAGACTCTTGCAAGGTATGAAGCAGATGCCATAATAACATGTCATCCTGTTGAATCTCTAATGGAAGAAATAAACCTTGAAGCAAAGCAACCATGAAACGGAACATTTCAGCTGCAAAAGTAAAGGAGAAACCAGTAAATAGGAAAGTGGAAGAAGAATAAAACCCCCAAAACAGCTTGACTTAGATATTTGATATTTATTCATTTAATTCAACTAACCCTGTGTGTGTCCATGGCTGGGTCTCCTGGACTCACCATCTCATGGGTGTTTTTCTCCAGGTTCCTTCATGTGACAGGTTGTATTTTCCAAAAGCAGCCAGCCACAGAAATATTCTTGGTCACACATGTACTTTCTAAACCTTGCTACTCCTCCATCAAAAAGTGGAATCTGCTTCCCCTGCCTTAGGGACCAGATGGGCCTCTGGGACACAGCAGAACTGACACTGCCCATGTTCTGATCTAAGTCATCAAAGCCTACGTGACCTCTGCCTGACTCGCTCTCTTTTCTGGACTCACTTCATGGGCTGGGGGAGGCAATGCCACCATGTTATGAGGAAGCCCAAACTAGTCCATGCAGAGCAAGTTCGAGGTGAGACCCATGTGGGGAGGCCCGGAGGCCCCAGCCTCAGTCAGCAGAGGTGGGCATGAGCAGCCTCCAGCCTTCAAGCCTTCCAGCTGAGGCTCCAGACACTGTGGAGGAGAAGCAAGCCCGCCTTGCTGTGCCCTCT